CAACTAGCGGACGACGAAAGGATTAATGCTCCAGCCGCAGCAACTGTTCTTCAGCGCGATTTGTACGTGGACGATTTATTAACCGGAACGGACACTTATAACGAGGCGACGATTCTACGCGAGCAAATAATACGATTGCTCGGATTGGGTGGATTGCATATTCGACAGTGGGCTTCAAACGAACCACAGCTCCTAACGGGACTTCCAGAAGCTCAAATCCACACCAAATACTTCGGAGACGCAACGGTCAAGACTCTTGGTGTTTCATGGCAAGCGCACAACGATCGCATCGTCTATTCCGTGGATCCGAATATCGATACAAGAGTAACGAAACGAACAATCTTGTCCACCATCGCGAAGATATTCGACCCCCTAGGTCTGCTGGCACCTGTTATCACGACCGCGAAGATACTGATGCAGCAGCTTTGGAGATTAAAACTCACATGGGACGAATCGCTACCTGCCAGCATCCACACTGAATGGACCACCTACGTCAACGAACTACAGCAATTAAATCAGACATCATTCGAACGCCATGTCTGTCAGCGGGCCATTCGGAGCCTGGAATTACACGGATTCTGCGACGCAAGCGAGCGAGCGTACGGTGCTTGCTTATATATACGGTCAATCGACGAACGCGGCCGAATCAAAATGAGCCTGTTATGTGCGAAATCCCGCGTCGCGCCCCTTAAAATCGTGAGCCTCGCAAGATTGGAACTGTGCGGAGCAGTACTTCTGGCATCATTGTTTACAACCGTTCGGGAAATCAACGCCTTTCCCTTTGAATCCGTAAAATTCTGGACAGATTCGACGGTGGTCCTGAGCTGGCTAAGAAGAGAACCATGCACGCTGAAAACGTTCGTGGCGAACCGAGTGTCCGAAATTCAAACCAAAACAGACGTCGCAGCGTGGCATCATGTCAGATCCGATGACAATCCAGCTGACCTCATATCGCGAGGACAATCACCAGCGGATTTCTTGAAAAATTCGCTTTGGCGTCATGGACCGAAATGGCTAGCCAACGACGTCGCGGATTGGCCCAAGCCAAGGTTTACCGTTGCCGAAGAAGTTCCGGAAACCCGTTCACCAGCCTGTTTTATGACCACCACTGTTTTTAGCAACGAGATACTCAATCGATTTTCAACGTTGAGTAAATTAAAAAGAATCGTCGCGTATTGCCTCCGATTCAAGAAAGGCGCTCATAGGGAGGGAACGCTGTCTGCCGAGGAAATTTTGAATGCGCACGAACGTATTTTGATGCTCGTTCAAGCCTCCGCGTTCGATCGTGAGATTCGCGACCTCCGGAACGGAACACATTTACACGCGAAGAGCCGTCTACTTCCATTGCACCCCTTTCTGGACAACAAGGGAATGCTTCGCGTTGGAGGTCGGCTACAAAACGCGACAATATCGTACGATCAAAAACATCCAATCGTACTTCCGAAAGGTCACCACGTTACCGAACTCATCATACGTCAGGCACATTTGGAAGGACAGCATTCTGGCATCAACACCACGTTAGCCAACGTGCGACAGCAATATTGGCCCATTGACGGGAAAAACGCGGTCAAACGGACCATCCGTCAGTGCGTCAGGTGTCTCCGTGTGAATCCACCGGCCGTCAACTACGTAATGGGCACCCTACCTGCGGCACGCGTCTCCGAAGCTCGACCCTTTCTGAATTGTGGGGTCGATTATTGCGGGCCCTTTTTCATAAAGGAGAAACGACACCGAAACCGCAATCGGATTAAAATTTACGTGGCTGTCTTCATTTGCTTCGCGACGAAGGCCGTACATCTCGAAGTCGTCGGCGATATGACCACCGAAGCGTTCATCGCGGCCTTGAAACGATTCATGGCCCGCCGAGGAGTGTGTCAGAATATCTACTCGGACAATGGCACCAATTTCGTAGGCGCCAACAACGAAATGATCGAGCTATTCCAAACGCTGCGAACGAACGAAAGGGTACAGCGCTTCCTTGCAGACAAGGCCACCGCGTGGCACTTCATTCCGGCTCTTTCACCCAATTTCGGCGGCCTATGGGAAGCAGCGGTGAAGTCATTTAAACACCACGTGAAACGAGTCGTTGGCGAGGAATTGTTTACTTTCGAACAATTTAACACCTTCGCGATCGAAGTCGAAGCGATTTTAAACTCCCGTCCGCTAACTCCTTTATCATCTGACCCTAACGATCCTTCCGCGTTAACTCCTGCCCATTTCCTGATTGGCACTTCTTTAACGAGCATGCCCGAGATCAATTTCAGCGATACGCCCAGCAACCGGTTGTCAAATTGGCAACATATTCAGAAAGTTAAACAGCACTTCTGGACCAGGTGGCATAAGGAGTATATCCACCAATTAAACGTTCGTACGAGGTGGACGAAGGGCTCGCACGAGATCAAGGAAGGATCCCTGATCATCTTGAAGGATGACCATCTGCCGCCGCTCCAATGGCATCTCGGACGAGTCG